TCCGAACCCATGTGTAAACACCCTATGGGATTTGTAAAAGCGAAGTCTTTGTAAGTTATATCCCATAATAAAAATTCGAAATTTGAATTTGAAATTTGTTTCGGACTAACTTAAAATAGAAAATAATATTATTCTGCCTGATCACTTAAGAATGTTGAAATATGAACTGCTTGAATGCTTTATCAAGTACACACAACATGGGATAGAAGAGAATTCCATACACCGCACACTCTGACTGAAAATGAGTGCTACCGACAAACTAGTTGACTGTTCTGAGTCTTGAATTTCATTAGATATCTCCTGAGATAATTATTTTGAGATAAAGTTAACACGAAACGGCAAGAGCAGCTCAGTTGATGGTATGTTAAGATTAGATTCCCCGAAGTCGACGGTACTGAAATGATCCCGGATGGTTATAGTCTTTTGGAGTATGTCTTGTTATACAGAACTTTTGCCATTTTTGTTGCCAAACTTTGTGGATACTATAGAGCCTTCTTGTCGTGCCTCAACCATGGATTTCATACTTTAACCGTGTATTACGTGTGTGACCTAATGAACGCTGATAACAAGCGTGTGCCCGAACTCACATTTCAGTAGTCCAACTTTCTTTAGACAAATGCATGATGATACTCTGACACAGTGTGCGGAACATCCGACGTCCTCCTGTACCATAACTCTTAAGTCACTTTCATCAGCACCATGCGGTTATAGTTGATTCCCCAGAACATAGGAGAAACGATTCTACCTGAAACGCTGCGAACGGGATTAATGACATTTGACACCTACAACACAGGAACACAATGTCTATGATAAGTCCAGTTAGCGAGGTTTGAAATAAAAATCCGTTTGGTTTTCCTATCCAGTCGTAATCTGTATGATTGCCGTACCGAATTCAACCAACCCGGGTTGATTTGGTTATCGATACTTCGCAGAACATTTAGATATGTGAAATTGAAGTACACACACAGCTATTAAACCGTACGAATCGACCACCAAAACCGAGCATGAGGAAAAACCATAGGCGCAATGGCAAAACTCTTACCAAACTTTTACGATTAGCGTCGGACATTCCAAAGCAATGTTCAATCAAGCGATATATGTGTAAAAAGTTTGCTGCCAAAAATTGAATAATCCGTATGGATGCTTTGACATTTAGCGCGCCTAGCATTCCTTGATGATGCCGCTCGAATTCGTCCAATTCCGCAGTCCGATAATCTAACTTTCGATCTGGTTGGGGAATAGTTTGAAAGAAATTCTTCAATAAACGTATAGTCTGTACGAGACTTGAGGATTCAGCACTGCTTTGTGATGTCAATTCGGCAGATGATTTGTTCTGATTCTTTGATTGGTGTTGTACATACCCAATCAGTACTAATAATGTGGCCAGTACCAGTGCAATAGCGAGCGGTTTCTCATCCTCGGGCATTTTCAGACCCGGTTGTTCTTCACTAATCAGACAGGAATAGTAGCCATGTTCAGGCGGAGTAGAATGTTCAATTTTATCCGGGTAATCATCATGACATCCTGGAATCCATTCATTTACAGCCCAGTACACGGCTTCCATCAAGTAATCCAACAGCGCGGCATACCACAAATCGGTCTCCGGTTTGAATTCTCCCGGTAGATGAATTGATGTTTGCTGATCCAGCATTGGGTTTGTAATTCGTTCGGATTTATCCATTGTCACGTGATTCTCACCCGTTTCATTTTTGTTCTGTCGCTCTTTGGGACCGTGTGCACCGAGACGTTTCGGTCTATGAACAGATCCTTGTTGCGAGCTGGAAAAATATCGATCTAAAGCGTTTCGCAAATGGATTGGATCATTGATTTGTTCTAGTAGCGTTTTAGCCTCTGCCAGTGGAACCACTTGGAGTGCTAGGTTTACAGTTACACTGGGAATAGCGAAATCCGGTTCTCGATTCTTTTGCCGAACTTTGGCACTTTTCATTTTATTTTCTTCTGAAAATAAGCGGAAATGCAGTTGAACGGGTACAGTTTTGTGCAACTGATTGTTGAATCTGAGTAAAAGGCATACACATTTTAGACATATATATATATATTTACCACCGGCTTGTAGATAAGCATGGTGCCAACGCAACAACAATAATGGGCCTATATTGCCTTTCATCTTAATAAGTGTTCATACATTCCTTAATACTTACACACACACATACACAGGCCTAGTTGAATGTGACACTGAAATGAACCAAAAACTGTATCCCAACCATACCCGTGTTATATGCTTTTTATCTACTTAGTCAAGTTTTCAGGTCAAGTCAAGTCAGTAGTAGCTTTATGCACCCGGATAGGTGTATTTTCAGCATTTACGCCATATTTGTGGATTCCAATTTACAAAATCATTGCATAATGAAACTGAAAGCAATGAGGTGTGTTTGTCAATGAAGCACTTGCACAATTCTGTGGAAATTTTGTCCTTGTCTATAAGTAGACGTGCTAGATATAGCGAAACAGAATTACCATAAAACGAGGTACATGCAAATAAAAGTTTAAAGCGTGAGCATACGGAGAATGTAAATACAGATTTTGAAAATTAGCCGTGTAATGGGTGATGAGTGTCTGAGAGTATTTTTGCAGTGAAATTTTCACATGCTTGTATGTGTCTGTCCATGATAGAATCGGTGAGTCTATCCCTGACAATGCCACTACATTCAGAGATGTGTTTCGGAGAGCTCGCCAGTCAATATAAGTCTTTCTTCAACATACCGGGAAAAATCACTGTGGAGCAATATAACCAGTGGGGTAGCACGCATACATTCACAA